TGTTTACGTTTCTTAAAAATTATAACAAGTTAGTATGGTTTTATTTGACACAAAAAATGAGAAGATTAATTTTCAAACATTCTCTTTTTTAGTTTTATTTTCTCATTTTTTTTTAAATTTATAAAGTTTAGTTAGTGATGTTTCAAAAAATTTGACAATCAGTATTCTGTGTAGTCATTTTAGTTTTATAGAGTGAAATTAATGATTGTATGCGAAAGCAAAAATTGTAGCAGTTGTCTAGACCTTTACTAAATAATATCAGCGCAATAAAGTTTGGTGGTGTGAAGTAGGGAATTCAAACTTGAAAATTTTTATTGGTCTTTTTTGACAAACTTATTTATATTTACTCAGTACTGTGCTGCTCGGTTTGTCCACCTATGCTTACCCGATGGACAGTTGAGCACAATTTTTATGGTTTACATAACGTATAGAGCGGTCACAATTGTTCAAAGCAACTATTTGTTTACTGCTCAAATATTTGCATAGGCTACTAAACCTAAAGAAGAGAGAAGAAGGGGGGAGGAGGGGGGGGGGTGGAAAAATCAACAACACTAAATTAAATTGTTGCCAAGCCTGTTTACATTTAATTTCTACACTATCTTATCCTGTTATAAAATAAATGACATTAAGATGAAAATATTGAAATCATTATTCACCCGAGTAGCCACAACAGAGCATTGAATGTTGTCTAAAGATTTGAATATATCAAAAAAACGTAAACAGTTACCCCGGTAGGATAAACTTTGAAGCGTAAACATCTGAAACGCTAAACAAAGTCATGAAGTTGTGAGAACTTTAGCACTGGTAATTTCCTGTTTTGACATAATTCAAATAAACTGTTGTTTATTAATAAATATAATTTGAGAAAGAAAAAATAATTTTTTTTTTGATTAATTGTATAACTGTAAAATATTGGTTAGATGATTAGTGAATGCAAGACAAAAACAATTTTTGCTCTAAAATTGCTGTCTTAGAAATCAAAACAATACGATGATAAATTTGTTATTCAGAATTTTTTTTTGTTTTAATCAGAAAAAAAGATATTTTTGTAGTAAATTTTAAGAAAATAAGATAAAATCTAGATGTTCATTTTTTTCTTTTGTTTTTTTATGCAACATGATACAAATATCTATGCGTTTTTAATATATGTGTAATTTACTTACTCTCAAAAAATTAATGTTTAGAGAATTCTAAGAATTTGTAAACAAATAGATTTTTTATATAACAAGTGATAAATACTTTATGTTTTGTCATAGATTTTAATCAATTTACTGCCACTGACAATGAAGAATTTAACGTCCAAAAGTAAAAATTTTTATAAAAGTCTAAAGAAGTTTAAAGGTAAAAATTTCTTCTCTTGAGAAGTCATTATAAACTCGGTAAAATGTGGTTTCCAGGTATGATGCTGAAACGGTCAAAGATCATCAAAGTTTTAGAATTTAAAAGCTAAGCATTCCAAAGTTTTGCCATAATTTCAAATTGCTTTTCATTGCCCGAAATTTATGACTTAAATCTTTTTCTCTTAACAATTTTTTTTTTTTTTTGCACTTTTTTTTGTTTGATAATTATTTTTATTATTGTATTGTTTAATTTATTTATTTATAACGTATAGTAAGACAAATTCAGAACACCACTAAGCAGTGCTAACTATAAATAGTTGTATTTTTCTCAACTGAAAACTGTACACTTTGTTGCTTTTCTAGGTTTATTTATTAACTTTGAACTTTAAAATATTGGTTAACCGTTACTCGTTACTCTTATAAATCAACAAAAATTTTGTTGTTTTTGCAAAAATTTTTTACGATTTGAATAATAAACTTAGTTGTATTTTTTTTAGCCTATGCATACATTCAATAAATCTGAGCCACCACTACGAAGTAATGGTGGTATAAAACATAAACGAGATCGTATGGAGGAGCTTCGACAGTGTTGGGCAAATAAGTGGACAAAAATATGTTGCTGTCTGCTGATTTTATTAATTGCACTAGCTATTATATTACCAATTATCTTCACACAGACACTAAGACGAGTAAGATGGTGCTTATATTTATGTTTCAAATTTGTTTTTTTTAACAGCTATTGAAAAATCTGCTAAGCATTAGCGTGTATCGTTCATGCATCTTGTAGGCAGCTATCTTAAAGTCACTTTGTCTTCTCGATTAAAAGATTCATACCCTTTTTTTGACGTTTAGGGACCGAATCGGTTCACTTGGACTCCGCCACTTCAATATCGTTTAGGACAAAACAATCCTACAGTGGTCAGAATGACGACTTATCCTAATCAAGTTCGATTTGATGTTAGCGGTGATATACCGTTTAAAAAAGGAAAATATGTATCAGTGTATGACTTTAGAACGGTAAAACAACAGTTCTGCTATTTTACTTTCATTGATTATCTGTTAACAAAATTTCGTTAAAAACAATTTAAAAATTAAAAAAATGTATAAATTTTTGATAAGAAGCATCTTGACTGTTTTAAAAAAAATTTTTTTCTCTTACACATATACACTGTGTGCAACATTGATATATAGTATGGTCACACACAAAATACCCTTAAATTTTTTCTTTCAAAAATTACTTCTTTTTCAGCGAAAAACCATTTTGATTGATTTATCGTTAAAGAATAACGAAAAAAATTTGGTGTGTTTTGTAATGGACATCAATTCCACTATTGTACCCAATCGAGAAGTATTGGAAAATGCAGCCAGGAACAGTGGCGACGTAAGGTTTACGTGGTCAATAGGTTAAAAACACATGTCTCTGATCATGTGTCACCTTTTTCCAGCGTTTTGAACAACAAAATTGTACCGGTTTTACGATTTGTATCAGTTTTAATGTTGAAAAGCAACTGTTCTACGTTCTTAAAGTTTTTTTCCATTTTCAAAAAAACTTTTTACAATCAGACACTTTTTCCTTGTCTTTATGAAAGGTGGTTTAGAGAAGAGAGCAACTACAAGGTTGGTATGAATCGTGGAATTACGTACCCAGACCATATTCTGGTAATACTGCGAACATATTTTCGGCAAGCATTCCTGAATGCGAATTTGCTCGTTGGGTGGAACTTACTTACACAGCATACGACCAAAGAGGTGAATCATAGACGACATTGAAAAAAAGTCTAATAGAGAAACATTTTCAAAAGCAAGTTATGAAAACATTTTTACTTTAGATTAACCCAGTACCTTAGATTGAATGTTTAATAGGTCAGAAATGTTCCGAGTGTTACGATTTTTGTCTACCTGAACTTGGAATAGAAAGAGATCCAATTCGTGGTGAAAGTTACCTAAATATTGTACGTCGAGTATGCTTTAACCTATTCGTGCCTGAATGGCGTTCTTATGCTTATAGTAATGAGCAAAATCAACGTGATTTTGAAACTTATTATGGGAATACTAATGAAGCTCTGAGGACAAATGGTAACAGCAACCTACCAGCACAAACTCGACAGGATGCTAGAAATTTTGAAACCAAATGGATTCCGCTTCAACAAGTTTCACGTAAAATTTTTTTGACTATATATATATATTTAAAATATTTGGTATAAGTAAGTTATAATTGAATCTGTAGCTGATTAGCCAAAACTGTTGGTGAAATTTGACTGTTCAGAAAGGTTATCGAACCTCACGCATCAAGCTGTGGATGCTCTACAAACTACTGTTATGGGTGCCGCACAAAGCGTTTTTGGGAATCATCCGAACGGCCGGAATAGTGGAAACGGTGCTAACGGTAACGGATATGTAAATGGAAATGGTTTCATGCGTCCGTACACGTCAATCACTAACAATGGCAATGGCCAAGACGAAATGGGATTTTCAAATCAACAGGTAGCACAAGACTTTGTTTCGCTCTGGAGAAATGACGTTTTTGTTGTCATTTGCTGTAAAAAAAACGTTGTTCTTTTTACATTAGAAAGCCATTTTTCAGTCCGCATGGGAAAACGGAAGATCTCAAGGTGTTTTAGACGGATCACAACGACAGGTAACTACAAATGGAACACCAGTGCAACAAGGTCCAGTAAATCCTCCTTATCAGCAGTCAAATCAGGGGATTGTATCTGGACTAAACAATCCAAATAATTATAATATGTATTCTCCTTCTCCGCCTTCACATGTTTTAAATGGCCAGAATGGCTTCAGCCGTCCACCAAATGGTTACCCCTCGAATATTTTTAGCCCTGAGGTTAACTATCTGCTTCATACATATATCTTGTGATGTATTATATTTGAAATCATCTCATAATTTATAGAACATTCCTAAACTCTTGTTTTGACGAACACTTGGTTCAGCAATTTCTAGTCTTTTGTTGAGACAGTATACCCGGTGTATTAGCTGTTAAAAAACGCCACAACTATTTTAAAAGTATTAATACAAGGCAAATTTGAGTTTTTTTTTTGTCTCTTGCTAATCTAAGCAGCATAGGTGCAGTTTTTATTGCAGGAATTTCCTGCTAGCTTCAACGGCGATGGCAGTAGAGTACGACAGGTAACAAATACTTACGGTAATGGTCAGTTATATCTACCAAATACCGCTTACCACCCAATCGATATAAACAACCCCATGAACGGTGTTAACGGCAATGGTTATTCCAATCAGCAGAATATTGGTGGAGGTACAAACTTTGCGCGACAGGCCTTCGTAAACATTCCACGTAATGGACAAAGTCGATTTCTAAATAACCATCGGTTTGGACAGCCGAATGGAAATGTATACTACGAAAATAATCAGGTAAATTTTTATATTTTGATTACCTCCTCCTAAACTTGTGTAGTTTTTGCAACTATTAAACAGGCCGAGTGAGATATAATTTCAGGTAGTTTTGAGAGAGCGATGAAGCATAGGTGTCCTTCTAAGCTAATTGTTGATTTTTTTTAGCTAAGTTGAAACTCATAAGTAGCCTTTGTTTCAATCTCAGTTTTTTATCTGATGAGGTTGGCTTGGTGGGAAATAACTGAGTTCATTTATCATTTTTTTTGCAGATTAAGTAGAGTCTGTTACTATAGTATTAGTTTAAAATTTTATTATTAGTTTTACGGCAGGTACCGATGGTCGTTCTAAAATATCTACTGAATCATCTTTTTATCAGCTTTTTCTATTGAAAAAAAGTAAAGTAGGAAAGAGAACGGATTTACTTTCTAGTGTTTTTATGGTAAAAGAAATTGTGGTTTCATTAACCAAGAAATGAATGTCTCAGCGTCTGTACTTTGCTTCCTCACTTAAAACACACCAAAGCAAATAAGATAATGTTTAACGTTCAATCAATGTTGACTTCTAGATCAGTGTTCTGTTTATCATTTAGAGGCCAACTCAAGAGAATGATGGATCTCATCTGAATGGACAAAGTTGGGCTGCTAGTGGGTAGCAGTCGCTTCAACCTACTGAATTATGTGTATCAAATATTTCATTTTAATTTCAGCATTTACTTCTGTGTTGAACTACAACTTCAGAATCTCAGTCTCTTTTCTATTGTTTCATCTTCTGCTTTAAACCATAGTGTTGCCCGAAAACAAAAAGAAGAAAACTTCCGGTTTTTGTTTTATACCTAATAAGTGACTATTTTAGTTTAATTTGGAGATAATTTTGTTTTTGAGTTAAAGAGATGTGTAAATTTAAAAGTGTTCCTTAAGTAGTAATCATTTTCCAAAACTAATTATTTTTCGCAAAAGATTGTTTTTTGTATTTTTTTTTTTGTTTTACGCCTAGCCGACTATGCACAAACGCTTAGATTATTGCTAAAATATACTTATAACAACGTTATTATTTTTCTTTTATACGTTACTTTCTGTAAAACAGAATGTTTTTTTACCAACATATTAGCTATACTGATATTACCTTTTCGCTGTTGGAGTTGTTAAAAGTGGTGTGCATTGTTTCGTTTTCTTTTTTTATTTGATACCTTTATTCTTTTACCATTTTGAATTGACAGTATGAGCGGAAAGCAGAAAACGAAAGAAAGAACAGTTAAAGTTTAGATGTCTGGAAACTGACATCTAAACTTGAATAGTTTTTTAACAATACCGTTGAAATCTGTGTCTCTGCTCTACCGTCTGAACGCTCACGGCGGTGATTGCCGTTTAAAGTAAGACGTAGGTGTTTCCACCCAAAAGTTTTTTTCTTAATTAGCATCTTTTGGAAGATTTTGTAGGTAAAAAGAAGTGAACAAATTTTTCTCTCGACTGACAGATTTCGCTTTTGCATAATCGTCAAAGTGCTGCTACAAATTAATTGAAAAATTATTTTATTTGTTATCACTTGATTGTTACTATTGATCTCTGAATCTTTCATATAATTATTGTCAATAATTTTTAGCATTTGTTTCAGATCCACAAATCTGCATGCTCCATTTAATTGCTATACGTATAGCGTATCTAGCTGTTCAGGGGTTAAGTGGCAATTTAGAGAGTTCTGTATAAATGTATTTTAATTGTCAACTTTTATTATGCTGCTGTGCAGAAATCAGTTTTGTCATGTCACTTCAGTTCTTTTTCTATTCTCTTTCAAAGGTGGGAAATCGTTTTAAATTTTGCGGATTGTTATTTTTTGACGTTATTTTTAGAAAAAGTAAGGTATTAGATTTCCTCTCCGTTGGTTTCTTTTTTTTTTGATTGGATAACCATAATGATTGCAACTAATTTAGTATTTGTTTCATAGATTTCAAATGTTTTTAACGAAACTGTGATACAACTGGACTTCTGTCTTGTGATGTGCATCTCCCGCTTTATCAGATATCTTACAGTTGTTACCAGCTTTGTGTATGTAATGTAACTGTCCTTCAGTTTACTACTGTAAAGCATGGCTGAAGGCTATGTAAGCACTAATGTTATTGTGTTATATTGTTGAAGGAAGTTATTTAATGAAAAGCATGTGGTAAAAAAGCAAGTCAGTTTACTCTTCCACAGTTTGTCGAGTACTATAACTAACATATTAAGGGGAAACTTTTTTGTTTCATTTTTTCCGCTCCGAAGCTTGCTGCACACAGGCAGTTACTATAAAATGCAGCATATAAAATCTTGTTCAAGCTTGTTATTGAGCAACCGCACTCAAAAAATCAGCAGATTACAGTATCTAGTAAAATTTCCTCCTTGTGCAATAAAATGGTGAGTACAGCTTGCAGTTCACTTCCTTCTCCCACATTCATTCCAACTTTTTTAAGTCTGAGCCAGCAAGTTTTGAAAGCAGCCTCGGTCAACGGTCGACCGTGACAAAGAAATTCACTTGTACAACCAATGCTCGAGCACCAGTGGCCTGGAGAATTGGGCGAGACGACGGGTGTAGAGGACTGGCCAAACACTTTGCTACGGAACTTCACGTTATACCCATCCGCTAAACACTGGAATTACTTCTGTACTCCGTGTGCCGCAACCGTCCGCAAAATCCACACTTTATTAAACACTTCCAATGATGCTACAAGGAAACATTGGTGTAAAAACATCTCAAATCCAAATTTATCACAAGTGAGAAAGTATTTAAATCAATTAAGACAAGTACACCAGAAGGCTATGAAGGTGGTCAGGTTGAAGACTATGAAGGGACTAGAATCCAATGAGAAGTCACTTTTCAGAAGAAGAGCTTTAGCGGATTAATTATTGAAGCTTTTGAAATATTTACTTCGTGCCCAGTTTGGCAGTTTGTATTCTGGCTTCTGAGGAAGAATTTCATAGTGTCGTCATCATTATTATTTTTTTTATTTTGGAATTCTGTTTGTTTGATTGGTTTTGTATCTTTGTTCCTTGTTGTAGTGTTGTTAAAAAATAAAATTAGTGCTCAAGTTTCGCCACAGTTAGAAAATAAGAACGTGGGGTTGGGTTAGCAATACAAAACCAAGCCAGAGATTGCAGAGGGCAGTAGGACTACGCCGGTAAACATAAATTTTTTAAATATCGACACCTTGAGTAGAATTACTATTTACGTGTTGTTCACATGTAGATCGCAACTGTCCATTTGGCGCCGAAGTAACTTCTGCCTCAACTACATCAGAACAACCTATCACTGCATTCAGTTAACCCGAGTCAATGCCGGCGCCACTAATTTAATACCAGACTGTGCCACTGGCAACTCTAAATAATGGGCTATCCATTAAATCATAATTTATACAGATACACATACAACTACACAGCAATATATTTTCATAATTAAGACAAGTGTTAGACGCAAACTGACCAGAACCGTCCATAGCGTGTGCTTTAAAGCATCTCACTTCAAATACAGCATTCGACCAAGGCACAATTCCAGAAAAACAAAAAAGAAGTTCTACAACCTAACTGTCCATTCACAGGTCATAAACTCTCCTAAGAAAAAAAATCTTTATGACCTCCCAAATAAGACCTACTAAGGTCAGCAGAGTAGAAAAAAGTCATCTAACAACTCAGCTTTTAGCTGTTGCAACCCCCCTCCCCCCTAAAACCCAATCAGTAAAAAAAAAAAACAATTGAACTTAATTTAAATATTTCAGCACCATGCAATAGGGCCCAAACCCGTTAAATGCTACAGCCACTTAGTATTTCTGCACTATTCTACCAAGCAGAACAGATACGACGCAAAACTGCTTTGCCGCTCTTTCAAAAATAAATCTACAGAAAAAAAAAGGCACTACATTATGAACCCCAATAATTACGCGACATTATCTCAGATTAAATAACGAAGCCAATAAAAGCTTCCGGACGTGCTCGTTTCACCTCTGATGAAAACGAAAATGAGCCGATGATAAAGAACCCCGAACAATCATAACTCGACATGTCTAATCCTAGTCTCAAGTTGTTTCTCAAGTCTCTTCAGCTTTCTTTTCAACCTTAAAAATTCCGCTTCGAACTCCTCTAAATTCTCCTCATAAACATCCTTCTTGCCCTCAACTTGTTTTGCAGACTGCAGTTCCTCTTCTTGGTAGCGCAGCCGATCCATATGTTTGTCAAAATGCACTAACTCATTCCTTATAGACTCAAGCTCCGACTCATTAAAGTTCGAATCCAGGACAGCCTAAACGTATCAGTGTTATAAAGAGTGCTCCAAAACTAAGGTTTAAAAAAAATTGAAACTGAAGACGATAAAACAAAGCAGAGATCCAGCGCAATAAAAATAATAAAATGAAAGACCGCACCATTCGCCATAAAGCATCGACTTCTTCGTTCCGGAAAGAACTTTTTACAGTTCCGAAAATCTTCCCGTGAAACTTTTCGTAGTCGTTTGTAAGTTCACGAGAAATATTTTTGAGCTGCTGGTTCAATGCAGCCCTTTCGCTATCATCTTGGTCATCCACGGCATTCTCGTGGGGAATTGTACGAAACTTTTGCAGTAGTGCATGGTATTGTTCCTCTTTCTTCTCGTAGTCTTTGAGCTCTTTTCGGAAAGCTGGAAAGCATTTTCAGAAATACACAGAGTAGCCAAGACTAATTGTTTTAAAATTTGCCTAAAAATGAAAATGGAATGGAGGCGCTCAATCACAACTAAATTTTTAAACACCGTTCAAACTTAGTATGACCAAATAGTACTTTCTGACCTCCTTCTAACTTTCAGCGGCCATCTTAGGATTAAAAAACCTACTTTTCAACTGATATTCAGTAAAAGTCCCCGACAAAGCAGCTTGCCACAGCTTATTTAATTTTTTCACAGCAAATTTTTCAGATCCTAGAACAGTATTCGACGACCGGCGACCGTCTTGATCTTTCCACTTCACTTTCTTTAAAAAAAAAAGAAAAAAAAACGAAAAATACATCAACTAGTCAGTATAAAACAAAAGATTTATAGGAAGATATGCAAAACACATGCAGTCTTACTCTGTTATAGGCTGCTACAACTTCATCCAAATTGAACTTCTTCATCGCTTCCTCCAATTTTCGATCCACTTCATGCATATCATTCCTTCCTGATTTAAGCGAACGTTCTTTTGCCGACAGATATAACCCATCAAATCGATCCAGTTCCTTCTAAACATTACTTTAAGTAATACAAAGTACAACTAATCACCAGACCACATCATGAAAATGGCTTCTAATAGAATCACTAGCGTCCAGCATGACTACTTCTATTAATCCTCCGTTAGGAGTCATCTGTTCTTCCCTACCCAGCTCAAACTATCCCTAGCAGGAAAAAAAAAAAGTAAAATAACCAATAAAACAATCACCTTTACCAACTTTAAAACCGATTTGTCAGTAAGATGATGAGTCGCCTTCAACCAAATAAAATTCATTTTAGCAGTGCGGAATGGGTTTTCCTCCGTAATAATACTTTTTGGCAATCCATCCTTCGCATTAACGGTAATACAGCTGACACAAAGGAGTAAAATTAGCATAACCATATTTGGCAAAACCCCCTAGAATTACAAATGAGATAAAGCGATATTACACAAACTGCAAAAAAATAAAGAAGCGATAGAAATAAGTAACCAGACGCTTCACCCACCTATAAGACTCCAACTATGAAAAAGTACACAGAGATCACATATCCTGTAAGAGAGCTACGCCGAGACCAGAAGACAGCTTTAGCGAAGCCCGAATTTTCACTTTGAGTTTCAACAAATGCCACTGTTCTAAAAAGGCATATCAACAGCCTTAGTAAAACAAATTTTTATGAGTATAGGACGTTGGAAACAGCCTATTAGCTATTCATGCAGTCATTCAGTAAAAAAAATACTGACGCGGAGACGCATAAGGAAGTAGAGTGGCACATTTTTATGAACCAAGAGTAGAATACTCCCAAAAAAATTGAATCTAAGCAATTACTAAACGTCTAAACAGTAGAATAACACGGCAAATACAAACTGAAATTCTCTTAATTAGTCAGCTCACTCTGACACTTCATTTTCTGAAGCAACAAAAGTTGTACGGGAGAAAGCTAAATAAAAGCTGATCTCTTCTTTTCAAAAACCGAGATAATCAGGATTAGATTAGAACAAATGTTTGCAGCAGGAATGAAATTCAGGTCTGCAAGTTAAACTTACTATCTCAGTCATTCTCGTCATCCCCTGTATCCGTATGTGTTGTAAAATTACCGCTGTGGCTGGCAAGTTGCCGGCACTGTCAACGTGTATCGGCTGCAGAATCACTTTTTAATTTCCAATCGCTGAACTTTAAGTCTAGAATCTGTTACTAACCTTGTTACTAACCTGAAACAACTTTTTTTAACGCATAGGTAAATCCAGTTCTTACGCTAAAGTCATAGCCGAGAGAAGTTCCAGCTCGTTACATCTTGCCCTATGTAGACTGCCAACTGAATTAGAAAGTACTTACCATGAATCACAACTACTCCAGCAGCTGACTCGTCTTACCAAAAGCATTCGCATTACACGTGAGATATCCTTTTAATAAATCAACCAACAATTCCCAATTCAAAAAAGTTTAGTTATTTTCCATTACAGTCTTGTGGGCTTCAGCGTCACTGTCTACAGAAAGAACATTTGATCTTTTGATACCTGAGAGCAACATACAACTTTTTGTATTAAAATGCGCCATCTCTAATTCATAGCCACTTAGATTTATGATTCAAACATTGAATATAGCCGGTTACACCCACAAAGACTACAACATCAACTATACTCATCAAGCAGTATAACTGCCAGAAATTTCACGATGTACCAGTGGACACTTTCAGCATTACCTCTCTATTAAACACGTCGATTCGCGTGATACCGGAGTAAAAATTCTATTAGTAATGACATCTTTGATTTTCACAGAAAGTGCTTCAAATTTCTGTGTTCTTATATGTGCACTTTTTAGCAACGAATAATGCACCTAATTTTGGATCAGTTTAATTCTTTAAAGCATTGCTAATTCAGCTTTTTTCCTAACTGAATTTTAGTTCAGGTATGAAATTTAGTTCTTGTCATTCTTTATAAGAATTGATAATCAAACAGTTCTATGAAGCATTAATTATGAAGTTGAACTATAAAAAGTCAAGCTTTTGTCGCGAGCGTAGTAATTGACTGATTAAAAAGGAATCTCTATTCACAACTGCATTCTTGTTACCGAAAAATCTAAGTTTCGAACTTCAAATAAGCTCAAAATCACTGGCCAAAACACAAATCATTTTTATAATAGTGATAAAAATGCCAAATCTCACTTAGGTATTTTTCAAAGTACAGCCTACGCTTAAACAACATTACCGTTTCTGCAGACACCGTTATTCAGCCACCTCAAATGCTGTGCTCCCAGAAAGCTATATTTTTGCAAGAAAAAAAAAAACAGACGAAAGAAAAGCACATAAATTTTCAGTTTAAAATTGCACCATTACTTATAAATTGTTAGTTATTTCTACTCTTGTTTTAAAATAGATCTTTTTCATAATTTGGACCAAATTCTTCTGTAGCCTCTGCGCACATTTGATCAGTAATTCATGTGCGTATAAATTGTTGAATTATACTTTTTTTCTTATTCTCCTTAGGCAGGGTCGACAAGCGACTTTGCTGTATAGATTTAGACTTGACAGGAAATGTTTGCGGCACTCATTCTCTTTTGCTAAAGACCATTATTAAAGTCGTGAAAAAGTTTATTTTTGTTTCGCCTTTCACCA